CTCCTTGCATTTCATCTGGTAGAACTAGAAGCAACTATATGAGGCTATATGCCAGGAATACCAAGTACAAAACTCCACAATACCTTATCTGGCACAGCTGTTATGTGATGAGAAAACTGTTAGGCATGACACGATCACCTTACTGCGGCACTCTAACAAATAGTTCCCATTAGCTTTTGTTCTCCTTTCTTTGTTACTATGATATTGTTGCTCACATATTCTATTACACACTAATTTTATATTTCATATCCTGTGGTGCATTGTTTAAATATGTGAATGCAATCCTGTTCTTTTTTTATTTCTTTTATTTCTCTTTTTTTCTTTTGTTGTTTTTGCTTTTTATTTTTAAAATCTTATAAAAATTTATGAGGTAATTAGATGCAATATTGTAATGCACGCTGAAAATTCCATACCTGTACCACAAATACTGTTTGGAATAAAGCTATTATTATTATTTTCTTGAGTAGCATCCTTAGATTTCAACTTTTCTAATGCTACACTGAAACGTACACATTTTTTGCATACATTATATGAATTGCTGTATGAATTGAGATTGATAACCCACTTTTATTTATTGATCGATCGACTCGTCTTATTGCTAGTTTCTCTGTTCTCTGTTTGGTATAATCTGATTATTACTGGATTCATTGAAACGTGCAACTTTGCCATTATCAGTAAATTTCATTATATACTCATTATCTCTGTCGCTAAATATCTCTGTAAATTCGTGTTTCAAGTGGTCGATTTCACTTCTTCACTACTTTCTGTGAATTTATTCTTATATGCATACTTTTGCTATTCGTTCTATTTCTTTTACAGCATTCTCTTTTTGGGAATAGAGACCTTAGATGTAGGTATTCTAGCCTGATTCCATCTCTTAGATAGAGAATTCTGAAAGGAGCAATATTATTGGAAACTTTATCACACTGTATACATTCTGTAAGAAGTACTTCTGTCCAATCTCTTAATGTTGATAATCTTAATAAGTCTTTCATACGCTCTTCTGTCGATATCCTTCCTAATGATACAAATCACATAGACAATAATTTTAGTGGTTTTAATACCCTTGATGTGCTTAAATGTCTCCGTTCTCTTAAGCCTTCCCAAAGCCTTGGTCCTGATGGCGTACCTGCCATTGTCCTCAGGAACTGTGCTGATATTTTGTGTTACCCTCTTACTAATATTTTTAATGCTTCCTTTTCCAGTAATGTTCTACCTTTTGCATGGAAAAACATTAAAATTATCACTATACCAAAACAATCTTCTGGTACCGATATTAAATTTAGGCCTATTGCAATTACTTCTCCTTTTTTAAAATTGATGGAAAAACTACTTTTACTTCGTCTTGAACCTTCATTGAAAGCTTTTAATGATCCTAAGCAATTTGCATATAAACATGGTAGAAGTACCTTGGATGCTGCGGTTGTCTTATATCATAATGTTGTTTCTTGTTTAGACAAAGGTGCCAAATATGTTCGTGGTGCTTTCCTAGACTACACATCTGCGTTTGACTCTGTACCTAGGGGCCTTTTATTAAATAAGCTTTCGTTGACACACACAGGATCCTGGGCTAAGAGTTGGTTGCATTCTTATTTTTCTGATAGAATGCAGTATACTGCATATAATGGCAAATCTTCTTCTGCTTTGCTTACAAAAGCCGGTGTTCCTCAAGGTGCCGTCCTCTCTCCTTTTCTTTTTTCTTTCTTCCTACACGACCTGCCTCATTTAAACGAAACTAATTTTGTCAGATATGCTGATGATCTGACTGTATCACTGCCTATCACTTCCGAGTCTGACTGCTCCAAACTTAATAGCTTTCTGTTGGACATCAGCAAGTGGTCTAAGTCAAATGGTCTTATGTTAAATCCTTCCAAATGTCAGGCAGTTAACTTTACTTTCAAGCATCGACGTGACATACATGAACTAGTTAGTTCCCATGATGCCTGTAGCATAGATGGCACGGAAATTGAAACCAAGTCAAGCATTAAATACCTTGGATTAGTTCTTTCCTCTGACCTTTCATGGTCATCCCACATCTTATTAATCTCTAAGAAAATGTTTCGTCTTACCTTCTACATTAAAAAGTTAAGATAATCAGGTATCAACCAACCTTTAGTTCTGCAATTTTTAAACTCCTGTATTTTACCTATTGTACTCTATTGTTCTCCATTAATCTTTCCTGGGCTTCTTAAAAATGACTATGTCATATTACGAAGGGTATTAAATGCTGTGAGTAGGGCTTGTGGTTTGCCACTGCGTGAGCTCGCCAATACTATAGTCGAGAGACACATAAATTCCTGTACAAAGTGGGCAAAGGCCTTACTGTCAGACCCTCTGCACCCCCCTTTATTCACAACTATCCCCTTGTATCTCATCAGGTAGGACGAGAAGTCAATATAAGAAGTTATATGCTCGAACCACTAAATACAAAAATTCTACAATACCGTATTTAGCCCGTATTTTATGTGATGAAGACTCTGTTAGACGTGAAACATATAAGTTACTATGTAATTAGCATAGTGAATCGACCCTTCCATTGTTCATCTTTCTGTAATTCTATGGTGTCAACCTTTCTATCGTTTAATTATAACTTTGCTATTTTTATTTTAGTTGTTATTACTATTATTACTATAATTTTATACTTTATGCGTATTTTTCTCCTTATTGCTTACTGTAATTGCTAAATAGCTCCTATAAAATCGTTTTGTTATCGTTATTATGTATGAATAATTTCGTTTTTTTATTTTGTTGTTGTCGTTTTTGAGTAAATTAGATGCAATATTGTACTGAATGCTGAAAATTCCTTGCTGTATCATTAGTACTGTTTTTGGAATAAAGCAAACTATTATTATTATTATTATTATTATTAATGCAAAAATACATTTAAGACATTTTTATAATTCCATTTTGTAGACGTAAAATTACTGTCAGCCTACAAAAAAACTCTGTCTGCAAACAAAAATGAAATCGAAGTCATAAACTTTGCACTAAATTCAACATTGTCTCTTACATTGGAATCACTTCATAAGTCTAAATTTCATTCTGACAACCAAAGGCAACTATTCTGTTCAATTGTGGTGGTGTGATACAGACAATGTCTGCCAACGGAATATTATTATTATATTATTATTATTTCCTTTAGTTCCTAGAGGAACATAGGGCTTCAGCCATGCGTTTCCATTGCGTTCGGTTCTCTGCTAGAGTTTTCACCTGGCTCCAGGTCTGACAACATGCTTTCATCTCCTCTTCACATCACCTCCTCCAAGTCACCCTCACCCTTGCACTGACGACCAACTCATCGCTTCCCTTTCGGGTTCCACTCGAGCAATGGCTTGTCTAGTGATGTCACTTGCTGGTTTCCTCAGAGTGTCGCCAATCCATCTCCATTTCTTCCTGCCTATTTGTTTCACAATCGGTTCCTGGTTGGTTCGCTCCCAGAGATCTTTGTTGCTGATCCTTTCCCGCCATCTGATCTTGAGTATTGGGCGAAGACATCTGTTAATGAAGGTCTGTAGCTTGTTTGAGGTGCTCTTTGTGACACACCAAGTCTCTGATGATTCTCACATATTCCCAATAGCAATAGAATACCAAAATCTATTTGAACATTCTATTAGATGTTAGAGTCGGAATGTTATTCCCATAGTTCAGTACTGCATTAACAAGAGAATACTATGTATATTTAGACACTCTATTTCATGTCGTTTGATGTAAAGCAAAACAACACAGCCAGTGTTTGGTTAAACAGATATAAATTGTAGATTTATAAACTGCGGTTTGATCAATGGAGAATATGATTCAAATGAACTGTCGTCAAGATTTGACAGAATAATTCTAATATATTTGGGCATCGAGTGAGAAGTAGACATTTGTAAAAAATTATATTTGTAAAATCTCAGCGAGATTGAAATGAGTAATTCCAACGTTTCGTTCGGTAATCTGGTCCGAACTTCTTCAGGGAAATTAATTGAAATTTATATAACACAGGTTTATGTATAAAAGGAACATCTTTTTTTTTAAATTAACAAACAAACTATGTAATTGGCACAATCATCGTGTTTTCATTCTCCGCTGTCTGCAACAGAATGCATATCCTAAATCCGTAGCTGTCAAGTCACCTGACAACTCCAGTAGGTCGAATAAAGCAGCTCAATCTTCAAAAAGAAGACAAAGCAATAAGTTCGACAGGGTGCTTCAACTAAACTCTAATCCTAAACCCCATAATTTTGAAAATACGTCTAATCATACAATCCTAGATACTAACAGTTTGAAAAGACATGAAGGTGTGATGTTAGCTGATGCATAGGAAATCCTGATTAATAAATAAAAAATGGATATGTATCACTAATTAATAATACTTGGTCAAAATTCCCGATTGTTTATATTTTCTTATGGAGACGTTAACAAATGTTTTACAACTATTTACCCACAGACACAAACACACTCTGTTTAAAGTGTTTAACAAAGGTAGACCAATATTTGTAAGGCCGGGGTCAAATTTTGATCACAGCTCATAAAATTTTGTTTATTATACTTGTTGATACTTGTTGAACGACTCATGATTGGACAAAGTTTTTAAAAACAAGTGATGTTCCTTTTATACATAAACCTCTGTTATGTTAATTTCGATTAATTTCCCTGAAGAAGTTCGGACCAGATTGCCGAACGAAACGTTGGAATTACTCATTTCAATCTCGTTGAGATTTTACAAATATAATTTTTTACAAATGGAGAAAATTCTTTGATTTCCATATCTTGCCTTCTGTTTTTACACAATAACTGGAGGTATTTTGTCAGCCTCTTGCATTTAACGTCTTACTAACCCTAAGATGTTTTTATTACTGACGAAACTTCGGTAACTCACTATACAACCCTTTAATAGGCGATCAATGTTCATTTACACTAAACTCATTGTCATGCAGTAATATTTCATTGAAGAGATGTTATCTTGTTACATTGTTCGGTATGCTTACTTGAATTATTTTCGTTTTCTTCAATGATAGATGATAAAGGTGGTCATGGATACGATCCAATTCACGAACAGATGTCCTCATTTCTCATGGCTATGGGACCTCGTGTGAGAAACAATTATACCGATTTATCTGATGGAGATATTCACTTAGTAGACATATACAATATGCTTTGTCTTCTGCTTGATCTAGAACCAGCACCAAATAATGGCAGTATTCATCGAATTCTTCCTTTCTTGACCCTTCAGGTAAGATATAAAAACAAAACCAAAATAGTTTTAAACATAGTTTTGAAACATCCTATAGTTACTATGCATTGATTAATTCTTGTAAGTAATAATTCATTCCGGTAACTGTTTATTCCAATGGCTTTGATTGTAGAAATATGTGAATTCGTGCCTCTAAGTTAGATGACCACAGGCAGTCAGCAGGAAGTCATGGACCTAGGTTGTATACTTGATGTCCATTGCAGGTGAGATATATCTGCAACCTTGACAGAACTTATGTCTCCTTAAACAATTTCAACCGTCTCACTTTGTGTAACAGTCAGAGAGATTACCACTAAGCTACTCGAACTAGTGTATCATTGAGTTGCACGTGTTCAATTCTCCTAAGGAACATCAGCTCCTTCGAGATTGCACACACACACACACAGTGCTGATGAGAACCAACAAACAACAAACTTAGTTCCAGTGCTTCCTGTCGGTATCTTCCAACCATCGAATATCAGTACTGTGTGCGTCAGGTTGTAAATTCACGTGGCATGACGACCACATTGTAAACTTGACTGATGGGATTCAATCATCAGCAACACCAAGCACTAGATACATGACATCAGCTGCTTCCTAATGACCAATCGGTGTATGAATTCGAGTCTTTTGAAGTGTAGACAAGTTAGTTTTAGTGAGTATCGACAAACTACTTGACTGTAAGACTCATCAGCAGTGACTGTGGACATTTTATCACGCTTAGCAAACTTAATGCTAATAAAATCGGTTTCCTGTCTGGTTAAAATCATTCTGTATATTGATCTGTATGTGATCGGATAACAGTGACAGACTGCTAATTGTAATCATGTTTGACTTTTGAAAACAGATGATAAGTTATTAGTCAAATATCATTCTGTGAAACTGGCGTATTTAAACTATTTCACAGGTCTTAGTTAATTCAAATTGTCAAGTATTGGTTTGGTAGGGATTTTTTTTTCATGATGAAATCCTCCATATAATTCAAATTGATTTTACACATTGAAATCCTAGATGAATTTCTTTGATTTTTGAATTTAGTGTTTTCAAGTGTTGTTTCACAGGAATTCGAATGGTTTCAGGATTTCATCGTGAGCTAATATCAGTTAAAGAACTATTGGAAAACCACGAAAAAGTACCAGACAGCCAGCTGTTTCGTCCTGGATTAGGACCCCTCAGGAGTACACATTTACTCCAAGGCTCGAACGCACAAACGTCTGGTTACAAGAAGAGCTGGTAGACCATCAAGTCACTAGAACCTGATCGACTAGCCAGCCCATGAATTCCAACTTCTGCCAATTCTCAATATAATGTGACCACCTTGACACTTGACCCGCTCCAGTGGTTCTCTAACCAATGTCAGCTCATGATAAAATCCTGAAATTTAGTGTTTTGTTAGCAATTGAAGGGAATGCAATGAAACTTTCAAGGAAACGCCGCAAAATGATAATGGATAAGAGTTGTCGGTTATTACTCAGAAATGTGATGCATATGTATTGCATTATAGTCTGAGAATTTTATGTTGCAGATACCATTCGATTATGAAATCTTCACGATTGGCGTGTTTGATATTGCTGAACAGCACTTTTCTGTTGCATTTTTGCAGAGTAATTTCAATCTCACTCACATTAAATGTTCTTGCTTTCCATCTACTAGTTTAGACTGAGTGCATCAACTCATTGACTTCTAAGGGTGTTTTACAAGTCCATCTTTTCCGAGGTCGAATTCAAGTGTACCAGTATTTCAGATTTTACCAGACCTTGAAACCTGTACTTGATTTACACATATGAAGTGAAGTGATGTGATGTAATGTACAGTAATTGAAATTCACTTCTCCACTCGGATAACATGGAGTAGTCTCCTCATCGGTCAGTAGTATACAAAATACAGTGATCAAATCACCTGTCATACATAAAATTTCATTGAAGGAATTCGATAGGAAACAGTGGTAATTTACAAATCTATAATCTCTAATGGCTTGATGGTCTCCAAATCCTCAGGATGGTCGGGGGTGGGTGCCTTGCGCTGCGGGTTGGCCACCCCTCCGCACACCTCTTGAAATGCTCCCATATGACCAGGCGTCTTACATAGCCTCTCCTGAGGAAGTCCTACTCACTGCCTTCACGTGGCGGAGGTGTTTTTCACCAAAGTGAGAGGGCGAAAGCGGATGCCCGGCGCTCTTCACCGGGTTGACTGTCCATTGGATGACAGTCTAGGGGAGATGGCTAAACCCTGATTCCAAACCTCCAACGACTGGCGTATGAAGCTCACTGGAGCTCACCGGCAGACGTATGGACAAAGGGCTTGTTGGATATCTGGCCCCATTCAAAAAAGCGTATGAACCGAACTCCGGTCACCGGCTGCCAATGGATAGTGGACTCCCTACACCACTCCTACTGCCTTGTAGGTCACACTTAGTTGTGTAAAGGCTAGAGCTGCACTCTCAAACTAAAGGCCGAGCGATTCTGGGGACATCACTCGTACCAAATTCCCATGAAACTTCATGAACTCTCTTACAAACGACTCTCACCATATCTGGGCAGCGATGATTCGAGATGTTCATGAAGCCGGCTCATCCTCCCGTAGGAGATAGCCGAAGTAAAGTAAAAAGTAAGTAAAGTGCTCGCCTTGTACCTAGAAGCTCCTGGCTTCGAATTCCGATGGGTGGTTACTGAAGAATTGTCTCAAACTAGGACGGAGGAAACAGCTGTCCAGTACTCCCAGGGGATTTTCCAATGCCCCTCTAACTGATATCAGCTCATGATGAAATCCTCCAACCAAATGTATAATGCTAAAATGCAGATATTCACCAAAAAGCTTGGGGCAGACTGATTACACTGAGATAATTGTTTTTTTCAAACTTTCTTTTAACTTTAATTTAAAATTATACATCGAATATATGCAATCAGTAAGTTCATGTCACTGTTTTCTATTTCGGCTTTTCAATACAGAGAAATGGATCCAACCCAAAAGGAATACAGATCACAGCTTACATTGCGGCTATCATTCTATCTATTTTTGTGTCACATACTGCTTTGCTTCCACTGTCATCAGTGTAAATTTTCCATATGACTATTAGACATAACACTAGATAATTTATTCTGTCAATGTCTCATTCTCAATTAGATACTTTTCTTGCTTAATAATTTGTCTATTTTGTATAGGAATGCAGTTAATAGTATAAAACTTTGTATGTTTCCTTCTCAATTAGGCAACTAGAATTACAGTGATTAATAAATTTTTGCTTTTGAACTTCAAAATAAAAGTCAAAACGAGTAAATTACACAGTCGAATATCAACCTGTCTCAACATATTCTCTGATAAATAGAATTTTATTTTAAAAAATATCCATAAGTCTGCATGTTTGAACTTGCACACAGTCAGACAGACAGTAGGAAGACTGTTCAATTGAAAGCAATCATACTTCTAGAATATGGGAGATGATCTGTTCTCGTTCCGTCTACATTTTCTTTTCCTTACTAATGTTGCTGTTATTATGATTGTTGTTGTATTAAAACAAGTTTCTTAAAGAATACAGTGATCTTTATCACACTTTATATATGTTGTAAATCACTGATTGATTCGCCAACCAATAATACATTTCAACTGTAACACTTTACAAAATTCGTTTTACTCGACTAAGCAAGTATACTTCGTTAGACGAATAAACCTTCTGAATACCCAGTAGGTGAAACAAAATGTCAGACAAAGGAAGATCAGTTGTTTGAATCAATAGACATATTCGGCTATTAGAATTAGTAGACTAATGTTATCAAATGACAATGAAACAAGAGATATTTACAAAGTAAACAATCGTTTCAATTACTTAAAGTCGACTAACAACCCATTACGAAAATGAAACCAGAAGTAATTAAATACAAACAGGTGAAATGGACAATGAATACAGTCGATATTGTGGTTATTGAGCGGCTGAGTGAGTGAGTGAATGAAGTGAAGTGAGGCTGATATTCATCTGCCAGTAACACTGTCCTCTATCTAAACTGCTTCACCAGTCTCGCTCACCAGATTCACATATTGCTACGTGGAATAACTGATTATTACTTAGATAAAAGATTACCTGAAATCCTGTCATCACTACAGCATTAATTACTTAGCGAGCAGGATATAAATAATCACCTCATTGCATTTCCGTATCTGATTCTCTCTCACTCCATCTCTCCTTATTTTTTCCACTCACTCACACGCCCAGGCACATACTCACATACGCACGCACATGGACGGAAATCATCACTAGACGACGATCAAAATACGAACATGCTCATGCGTATTCAATCGCCATCGCAGGTCTCCTCCCTACCCAGTATTCATGCTGAAATTATACGAAATAGGAAATAATATTGCATGATGAGATTTATTATTTTTGTTTCGTCTGATTTTATCATAGTTTGACTACACACAATTTTTTCGATACAAACATGAAATTCTCAGCATGTGATATAGGTAGCGAAATTTAGCAGGCCGAACACTGATATCAGGTATGCGTCGACCGGGAATCAAACCCCGGATCATGTGCACGGACAGCGAGCGTCCTAACCACCTTGACAACGACACACATAGAAGTGAATAGAGATTGGTGCATTGTGATTGCTACTGTATCTCTCCAACTGTCCACAATGTGTAGTGTGTGATGGGAGAAATTAACAGTCCTTCCCTGACTGAATTAATCCCAGTAATATGATGGTGTGTTGCAAAAGACACTGTGATGGTTGACTGCGAGAGATTCACGTCACAGTCGAAACCACCAGTAAGTAACTGACTCACTGAATAACCATTTTCTCACTATTTCCACACACTTCCACTAAGATGTTGTTGAATTCCAGAGGAGAGTGAATCCGCATTCTCATGTTGTGTGCTGATTCATGTGTGAATTCGTTGTGCTGTCTTGTGAGTTATTGTGATCGGGTGAGGATATGAGCTGTCTATCACAAAGTTATTTTCTCGCACAGCGTTCCACAGTCTGAAGCAGATATTCAATGTGGGTGAAGTTACTAGACACAACAGGTTTGAAGCTGGATGAACGTGAGGCGGGATTTAATGACAGCAGTCTCTTAGACACCTAATACCTAATTAACTACGTGAGGTAATTCACGTCGTCAATAACTGCCTCCGTTCGATTTGTACACGGATATTGAGACGAAAGCACAGTGAGTTGATTTGCAGTGAGAAATATCCTCACCCATTCCCCGGGGTTTCCTATTGCTTTCAGTCCTCTTCAGTAGCGTCTACAAATTAATTGATTTATTGTTGAGGTGTGTGTGGATTGTCATTCTCTCAGGTGACGGTGGTTTGTGGAGTTGTCTTGATATTTAGAGGCTGTTTTATGAGTGTACGACTCTCTTATACGAATGCAATCGATCTTCCAGTTCCGTACGTTCCACACGGAGTTCTACATGATTAATTTTTTGAGTGAAACTACCTCGAGGGTGATGAGGCGTAATAATGAAATTGCTGTCGTTGTTGTTGTTGTTGATATTTTAGTTGTTGGTGTTAGTGGGGGTGGTCATCAAATCGGTATTCCTCCATATTATGATGTAGATATACTTCACAGATCTCAAATACCATCAACTATTGAAGTCCTAATTTTAAAAATTTTAAATCATCTGGTCACTGGCTTGATCATTTAGTTAGTTATTTAGTTAGTTTGTTAGGCTGTTAGTTAGTGGTTTAGCTAGTGATTTAGTCAGGCACTTGTTTCATTAGTTAGTTATTCAGATAGTTGCTAAGATGTTTACTTAGGTAGTGAGTAAGTATGTTAGCTGGCTGGTTACTCATGGAGATATTTAGCGAGTGATTATTGAGTGAGATATTGATTTAGTTGCTGAGGTAGTGAGGGAGTGAATGGGACTTTTAGTTATCAATCGCTTTGTTAGTTACTTAGTTAGTGAGTCAGTTATTTAAACAGTTAGCTAGTTAGTTAATCGTCACTAGGTGTTCATCTATATTTCACGTTCGAAATAAAGGACAGTACATACACTCTCTAATTCAATATGTTTATTGGATTCATGATGTAATATGTCAATCTTATCACGGTTGAAATATTGACGTAATCGTATGAGTTGATGTGTATTTTTCAATAGTGCAGTAGGCATATTTAGTTTTTGTGGACAGTTTTTATAAATAGTTGGGCTTGTGATAATTTTACATGCATTGACATTATGCTTTTATATGAAAAACTTCACATGACTTCTAAATATTTGGTTTGTGAAGACCTAGTTGATGTAGTGGTGAATTAAGGCATCAATAGATATGTATAGAAGTGTTATATACCCATATATGACTTATAACGAACTTTACATTAATAAAGCTGGTCGTACATTGATTATACTTATATATCGCTAGAGTAATCTGTGTATATTGGTTTCTGTAACTAATAATGAATGAATGAATATACTGATACATATTTACGAGAGTAGAACTTCCGCATTGCAGTAAAGTATAATTCCGTTATAGAGTAAATTTATTTGTTTTCGACGATTCATTTTCATGAGCTGTACAATCGTAATTATATCTAACAAAGAAATCTCTAGACCAATCAGATACTGGTAAACTTTGTCCTCGGAAAATGTGTTACATAATAAAAGGTGTAAGAAGGGATGACTTGTTGTGCTGCTATATTTTGATTAAACTAGCGTATACGTATATCCTAATACTTTTTCTCGTTTATAATTGTGTCCTAATGTTGTGCTTACTCGACACACACAACGTAAATCAGAAGACACTTGAGAAGGTGTAGGAATGTGTATTCTCGCCGTAATCAAAATTCAAAACTTGAGCGAGTACAAATGTATCAATTGTTAACACGCAAAATTTAGAGTAATAAACAAATCAAAGTACAATTACACAATGAAAGTATAGTACGATGATGAGTAATAAAATGGGTCACTACAGACTAATTGTAAGTTAGAAAAGAGACAGAAGTTGACATGAAGCAATAAGTGTCAGATAATGACCAATCAACAAGCTCGTGTAGAATGGACAGGAACTATTGGAAAGGCGATGAAATGTTTTATATAAAATCTGTATGAAAAATCAATGTTATTAATAAACAGTAATATAGTGGTAATAAAATATAGATAATGGGAATTATAATGATAATAAGATAATAGTAATAATAGCAATAATAACAGTGAACTTACATAATAAAAAGAAGCAAAATTTTAGTAAGAACTTTACTCTGGCTCCCTTAGGATGAGTGAGTGTATGTAGCGCTTTTCAATGCAGAAGTTCGGTTTCATATCCCGAATAGCTAATGATTCAGCTATGTACAGATGGCGTACTCAAAGTCTTTTTGTGCGATATTGGGGGACTCTGTGTAGCACTGTGAAGTATTCATGTGGGTAGGGGTGCTTGATGTTCAGAGTTGACAGTGTGTTCAAGGATGAAGCTGCTAGTATTCCTTTTTTCTCCTCTGGCTGGCTAACCAAGCTGGACAATTTTCCAGAATACCTTTGTGAACTTGAAGTTGCGTACGGCCGATATACTTTGCTCCAAACGAACAAGTCTGTCTATCTGTTTTCAACATAGAACTTTGCAATATGAACAATTAGTTCAGCGAAGAGTCTCTTTTCGGCGAATTCATTCACTTAGCTGTACAGTCGCAAATATATACAATTAATTTTGTGTGCGTGTGTGTACATTAGGTTTGTCAAAATCAAAATAACAGTTAGTGTGGGTTGTTGATTACATCATCAAAATAATAAAGAAATTAAAATGTGTGATTAATAATCAAAGTTGTAACTAAGAATAGAACTTTGCATCGATGTGCAGCTGTCCAAGTCGCCACACTTATTATTATTATTATTAAAAAACACTTCATGTAGCACACAAAGCAAGAGAAGGAAGTAGAAGAAATGCAGAATAGAGACAGTAAACAGAAGCATGAAGCAAAAGGAACAGTAATATTGAAGAACAATATGGTTTCTCTGGGTATTATAGTCACAAGGAGTGGATGCATCTGCGCCATTGAGAACGATTTTAAGTCATATCACCAACTGTCTCCAGCCATTGGTTTTTACTATCCCAAGGACACCAACCAGGA